CGATGATTAAAAACTTAAAAATAAATTAAAAAACAATTTTTTTCTTAAAAATTATTGTCTATTAAAAATTCCACTATTTAGTTTTTCTTATTAAATTAAACTTACAATATTTTTTTATATAACAAAATTATTAAATTAAATTAAATCACTTATAATCATGTTTATATTTAATTTATTTAAATAAATAATTAATCAAATACTATAATATAATACATAGTCTATATGGAATATATTTTAAAAAAGTATATTTAAATAAAAAATTTCTAAGTTCATTTATTTAACTAGACTGGTTTACTATATGTAAAATTCAACAGTAAAATAAATTTATCTGATATAATATAATTATTTTTTTCTTTTTTTTTGTTTATTTTTTTATTATTTTTTCTCTCTGTTTATTTCTTATTATTCTTTTTTTCTATGTGTTTATTTATTTTTCTCTCTTTTTTATTTTATTATTCAATTACCAATAGTATATTAAAATATGATAAAGTAACTCTTTTATTAGTGAAAAATAAAAATATTTAAATGATCAGAAATATTATAATTTAAAATATTATATTTAAAAAATATTATATTATAAATTTTAAATGTTACAAATATTATTATATTATAATTATTAATAAAAATAAATATTTATTTTATATTAATTTATTTTAAAATTACATTGTCATAATTTAATTTATATAACTAGATTAAATTATTAAATAAAAATATATTTAATTTATAAATATTTAATTTTTTAATTAGATGAATAATTATTTATTGTGATAAAATAATTTTAAACTAATTATTTATTGACAAAATAAATAAAATTAATTGTTGTGATCATAATTTTAAATAACTAGTTAACATTTTTCTAGTTTATTGATGATTTTAAATATTTATTTTAATATATTTTTATTAAATTTTAATATAATAATTTAATTGGAAGAACAAATAAGATGAGAGAAAGAACAATAAAAGAGGAAAAATATAAAAAAAAAAGAAGGAGGGAGGAAGGAAACAAAACGAAATAAATAAATAAAAATTACGAGGAAAAAAATATTTTATTAACAATAAATCGGTATACTTGAATGAGTAAATAAATTTCATAAAATTTTTATTTAAGTAATTCTATTCAAATAATTTTTTTTAATTTATTATTTATAGATGATCCTTCAAACAAATTATTGTTATAGTTGTTTGTTGAATGATCCGTTATATGAAAAAGAAAAAACATCATAACTATGGTAATCGATTTTAAAAGAAAAAACATCTTAACCATAGTAATCGATTTCAAAATATATTTGGGAAACATGAACCTGTATTTTATTTTATATGAATATTTTAAAAATAATTAAATTAATACAAAATATAAATAAGTATAAATATTGTATGAAAGTAACATTAATTTTAGTACAAAACATCAATTTAATCATTTATATCAATGCACAATTTTTATATATGGACTTCTTAGATTCTTATATAATATTAACTGGTCATTTCCTTTTTCTTATCAGAGTTTAGTGTTACATTTTTATTAAATTTTAAATTTTAAGTATTATAATATATGTTTAGAGTCCTTACCCGACTTAGGTTCCTTAGGCCCATGGAAAAGGAGACTACTAATATTATGTACTTTATGCTTATTAAGGCTCGACAAATGTTAATTTGTTACTAAATAGGTTTATAAATTTATATTCTTATAAAAAAAATTATTATCAAAATAGTATTTAAAAAAAGTGTGTATTAATCTAGTTTCTATAAAATTTAAATATCTATTTTTTAACTTTTTAATATAATTAATGTATTGATTATGTTAGAGACGAAAATTTAATTTGAATAGAAAAAAAAACTGATTTAAGACTTATATGAAATCCAATTCTTTAAAAAGAAAAAAAAATTATATATATATATAACTTTCTCTCATAATTTTTATTTATACTTCATTATTAAATTATTAGACGACAAAACGAGTTTTATTTAATGGTTTGTCCATGAACTCACCTAAAAATGAGATTAATTAATGATTTTAATCAATTAATTTACTTTAAAATAATATTTATATATTAAAATTAAAATAAAATAAAAATTATAATTTAAAATATTATTTTTTATGTCATATTATTAAAATATATAAATATATTATAATTCAAATTATAAATATTAATAAATTTAATTTAACTTTTTTAATTATTAGTTATTTTAATATATAAATATAATAACAATTTTAATTTATCTAATAAATATATTAATTACTAAATAAAAATTTAAAAAATTATTGATATAATTAAAAATATATATTTTTTAAATTATAATTTATTTGAAGTTTATAACTCGGATTATGTCGGATCAATTCCACCGTTTCAATTTCTTTTATTGATGTGAGACATAATGGGCAAAATGAAAGATAAGAGCCCTCTGCTCGTTATAACGTCATCCCATTCTATGATCACATTTAAAAGAATTAGATTACATATTCATATTTAGAATTTAAGTAAACTAAACTAATATGAATTATTAAAACGAAAAATCATATTTAAATTTCATAATAACTGAAAAAATATATTATAATAACATATCACTATCTTCGTGATGTGAATAAATTTTTAATAGTTATAAATTTGAGACTAATACAAAATGAATATAATATTACGAAACTAAAGTAAAAAGTAATTTGAGACTAAACATAAATAACAAGCATCAAAACTTTTTTTTTAAGAAAAACTAAAAGTAAAGAAAACACATATAGTAATATTTTAAAACCCAAAATATATTTAAACTTAAAAAATTGAGTCGCTAAATAGTAACAAATGTTAATGCAAAATTACAGTGCCGGTTCCCTTTTAATTTTTGTACGTGATTTTTTGTCTTCTTTCGCGATTTTAGTCTCTAAACTTTTCAAAATCTGTAACTTTTCAATTTGAAAATGTTTATTTATTTCATTTCGTATTAATTAATTAAATTACCTTTTATGACACTTTAAATGGATTTTTAGGTATAATATAATTAAGTTGGGCCAAAATTTTAAAAAAATGCAAAATTAAATATTATATTAAAAAATATATTTTTAAATTACATACCGGAAATTAGAAACAGAACAAAAGCGTAATTTAACCAAACAAATCTTCACACTCACTCAATGTCTCTACTAAGAAAAATGTTGCAATATCTCTATTCACTCGATGTTCTTTATTGATCAGTCCACATTTAAAACCCTAATGTGCATGCATATGTTTGTCGTCAGCAACACATCCCAATATTGCTCCTTCAAGTTGCTCTTTCTGAACTCTCACACTTCAGACACTTATTTTCAGTATATATATAATATAACACTTTCTATGTAAGCACATTTTAATAGGTTATCCAAAATAATAGAGTGGAACAAAGATAAATAAATATATATATATATATATATATATATATATATATATATAATAAGTGTATTTATTTAGAACATATTTCTTAAAAAGTCACAAATTTGTATGGATGCTGTAATTTATTTTTACATCCATTCTTAAAAATTAAACCCCTCTTGCAATAAATGCGTTACCTCTGAGCAAAATAAAAAGCTTCGTACCAAGAAAAATAAATGCGTTACGTCATGATGTCCTCATTAATTTTGTCAGTGGCCTAACATAGCTGTAACAGCGTTTTCTCTTGAAAGAATGTTTAAGAATAAAAATAAATATTTTATTTTAAAAACAAATTAAAATAATTTATATATTTATTTTTTTAACTTTGAATATTATTTAATTTTAAAAGATTTATATAAAATTATAATAAAATGTTTATTTGTATTCTTACCTGAATATCAATAGTAATGTCTATGTCCTAACTAGTACATAGATACAGCTGTGGGTTGTATCTCAATCAATTATAAGAAAGATCCAGTATGAATAAATATTGGTGATGCATTATATACAATACATAAATTAAAAACAGTTGATTAACACAACAATGTAACCAACCCGAATCGTTGCGTAAAGGGAACAAACATACTACAATTGACTTTAAGAAAAGAAAATGTACATGTGGTGGAAGAGATTGACAATTCCTTGTTAGTTTTGTTCTATATTTGCAACTCTACTATCATACAAATGAATCTTGTGTATATTTCGTTAGTGTGGAATTAGAAGGAAAACCGTGGAAGATTCCACGGTGAGTTATCAAAAAGGTAACGTAGTCTGACTCAGAGTGGTGGCATGATGAAGAGGCAGGTGGGACTGCGTAGAGAGAGTCACGAGTTAGAAAATGTAACGCAAGTACCCTGAAAAAGAAAAGATCGTAAATTTTGAAGAGGGCTTGAGATGAGGCAGTTATAGGCACTACTACTGTATCTGTATCGATCATTTTCTGTTTCCGCGTCATGTCACTTGGATATAAACGGAAGAAACTAGAGACGTAGATGTGATTTGTTTTGTTGCATAGGATAATAGAAATACGAAAATCTACGTGACACAAAAAAGGTGTGGTTGCGGTTTGCCTATCAATTCATTGTATCCCCACAACGTTGGCCAATCCTCTTCACTTGTTCTTCCTCACATCTCATCTCTCTCTCTTTCTCTTTCTCTCTCTAGTTGGACCCTGTCCTCAGTGTCCCTTCTCTCGGGTTGCAACTTGGGTGTGAAAGGACCAAAATAAGAATTTTCTGGGAAAGAAATCAATCCCCCTTCCCAAAAGAAATGCTAAAGTGTGGGAGAAAGGGGAATTAAAAGATAAGTGCCAAGCCTCAAAGTTGTCTACTCATATATCAGATTATGCTTTTTACCTCCTTATGGCCTAAAATATCCGTCAGTAAAGAAAACCAAGACCAAAAGGAATATAAAAAGTGGGAGAGAGAGAGAGAGAGAGGGAGAAGTAGAGAAAAAGATAAATTAAGAAGCTAGCATTTGTTGGTGGTGTTGTTCAGCCTCAGTACTCAAAGGGAAAGTATTAAAGGTAAGAGATCTGGTATATGGTTGTGTGCGTGAATAATAGAGTGCTTGAGGTTGTGTTGTTGGTGAAGAATATTTGTGGAGATGTCAGGTGGAGGATGCAGCATAGTGTGGTTTAGGAGAGATCTGAGGGTGGAGGATAACCCTGCCCTGGCTGCAGGAGTGAGAGCAGGAGCTGTGGTTGCTGTTTTTATATGGGCTCCTGAGGAAGAGGGTCAATACTACCCTGGCAGGGTCTCTAGGTGGTGGCTCAAACAAAGCTTGGCTCACCTTGATTTCTCTTTGAGAAGCCTTGGCACTCCCCTAATCACCAAGCGTTCCACTAACAGTGTTTCTTCTCTATTAGAAGTTGTTAAGTCCACTGGGGCTACTCAACTCTTTTTCAACCATTTATATGGTCAGTTTCTGTTTATTCCTTTCCTTGACTTACTTTTCATAGCTAATTATGTATGATATGGTTCAAGTGTTTCCTAGTTCAACTTCTTTCCTTTTCCTTTTATATGATTATTTGTTTTCATATCATGCAAACTTGTTTTGTTCAACTGTTTTTGGAGGGGTTATGTAAGAACCTTTTGATACCTACTTAAAATTTTTCTATGACTATAGCAATGACCAACATCATTGTAGACTTTAGATACCTTGATTCTATCAATTCTAGTTGTTTCTATTATTGTTTGGTGAACTTTTTCTTTACAGTTTGTTTTAAGGTTGTCTCTGATTTTTTTCCTTCTCCGTATAAATTGCCTTGTCGTTTGTAATCTCTACTTATATCATTGGATTTCCTTTTTCATAAGAAAAGTGAAGTTCGCCCCTGCAGATTCATGATGATATCAAAATAAGTAATTATCTGTGTTGCAGATCCATTGTCACTTGTGAGGGATCATCGAGCAAAGGAAGTTCTGACTTCTCAAGGCATTACCGTACGTTCATTCAACTCCGACTTATTGTATGAACCATGGGATGTGAATGATGCTCATGGCCAACCATTCACAACTTTTTCTGCTTTTTGGGAAAGATGCCTCAGCATGCCTTATGACCCACAAGCACCTCTTCTGCCACCTAAAAGGATTATTCCAGGTCTACCTTTATTCATTTTTTTTCTTAGCCTCAATTTATTTTTTGTTTTTATTAATAATAATTAATATTGATTGGGTGCCAGCTACATAAGCCATGTACCTTTTGTGGTTCTAGTTTGAAGTAGGCACTTCAACAAATTATCCAAATTGGGAAATGAACAACGATGCTTTTTAATCGCTTATAAAGTTCTTACGTAACATAGCAAAAAGTTACAAAAGTAAAAGCATACTATTTAACGAGATGGAGCTTGTTTTAGATTTTAAATGCAACTAAAAATTCATAGATCATTCTGCCAATAGGCTTCCCAAGTAATCGTCCAACCATTGTAAAAAAATAAAAGTACAGATGCAACAGATATTCTATTCAGTTGTCAAACTGAAGTATTTTCGTTATGTGGATATACAAGCTTTATGAGTTTAGTAAAAAATTTCACCTTTGCAGTTCATTAGTTATGTGATTCAGATAGTTCTCTGTTTAACAAAAAGATGAAGGTATGTAATGGAGGTCTCATTGTCTAATTTAATGTCTAATTTCATGACACTTTTCATGATTCATGGACTAAATTATTGCCAAAATCTTTGGAAGACCATGGTTACACTTTCATTATTGACGAACTGAATCAAGGACCAAAGTAAATGACACTAGTAATGGTCTTATTTTTATACACTCTACAAGTATGTCATGTGTACTAAAGTATATTTGGTACATTTTTTCTTTTCTATTTATCACTGTCATTTGTCATGAATTTCATTTGCACTATGTTAACAATTGTTACTTTGTTTCAGGTGATGCTTCAAGGTGCCCTTGTGATACATTGGTGCTTGAAGATGAACTAGAGAAGGCAAGCAATGCGCTTCTTTCTCGAGCATGGTCACCGGGATGGAGCAATGCTGACAAGGCATTGACAGCATTTATAAATGGTCCTCTGATTGAATACTCAAAGAATCGTAGGAAGGCTGATAGTGCCACAACCTCATTTCTCTCACCACATTTGCACTTTGGTGAGGTGAGTGTAAGGAAAGTTTTCCATCTTGTCCGCATTAAGCAAGTGTTTTGGGCCAATGAAGGAAACAAGGCTGGTGAAGAGAGTGTGAACTTGTTTCTCAAGTCTATTGGTCTTAGAGAGTATTCTAGGTACATTAGTTTCAACCACCCCTACAGTCATGAGAGGCCCCTTCTAGGCCACCTGAAGTTTTTCCCTTGGGTGGTGAATGAAGGGTACTTCAAGGCTTGGAGACAAGGCAGAACAGGGTACCCTTTGGTGGATGCTGGAATGAGAGAGTTGTGGGCAACTGGTTGGTTGCATGATCGGATACGTGTTGTGGTTTCGAGTTTCTTTGTGAAGGTTCTGCAGCTTCCCTGGAGATGGGGAATGAAGTATTTCTGGGATACCCTTTTGGATGCAGATCTTGAGAGTGATGCTCTTGGTTGGCAGTACATATCTGGTACTCTCCCTGATGGTCGCGAATTTGATCGGATAGATAATCCACAGGTACAGTTTCTGTGTATAAACTACATAATCTTGCTTTGTGTATGATCATCTGTGTACATGTTATGTTTTTTATATCGAAAAGGAAAGCCATGTCGCGAGTTTTAAATGTTTTTATCACTTCTGTGGTTTGTATAATTTGTGCTGAATCAAAGACTCTCCTGTTAGCCACTGAGGTTTTGTACAAGTGAAATAGAACAATAATTACTTCCACCCTCTTCTCTGAACTCCCTTAAATATTTATGCTTTAAATTTTAGATGAAGCCAAAAAGTTCATCCCACTATTGATTACATTTCAGTGAGTAGAGATAAGTTTCGAGTGTCTGATCTGGAGTTATGCCTTCTTCTAGCTCTGTTCAGTGTTTGAAAGTTAAAATTCTCGGCATGAATAAGACAACACTCTGGCCTATTTTGCTTTATCTGAACTTATTCATATTGAAAATTTGAGATGATCATTTTTATAACTCAAATACCCTTGAATACGGTTGATTAATCATCACCATTGAGTTAGTTTTTCATCAATCATAACTTTGTTTCTTCAATTTTTGGGGCAATTGGATTGAAACTCTAAGATTTTTATTATGATTTATGAACTTTGACATTGCCATTTTGAGACTAGAGGTATATGCTACTACTGTCATTTGAATGCTTAAAGGTGATAAATAACTAGTAATAGATACACTCATTTGAGTTTTTGTTTTATTTATTTTTTTCTAGTTTGAGGGGTACAAATGTGACCCAAATGGAGAATATGTACGACGCTGGCTTCCTGAACTTGCTAGATTACCAACTGAATGGATACACCATCCATGGAATGCACCAGAGTATGTACTTCAAGCTGCTGGAATTGAACTTGGTTCAAATTATCCTCTTCCCATTGTGGGAATAGATGCTGCAGAAGTTAGACTGCAAGAAGCACTTATACAAATGTGGCAACAAGAAGCAGCTTCAAGAGCTGCAATTGAAAATGGAACCGAGGAAGGGCTTGGAGACTCATCTGAATCAACCCCTATTGCTTTTCCTCAAGACACACACATGGAAGAAAGACCTGCTGAACCTGTTAGGAACAACCCACCTCACGGTACTCGTCGCTACGAGGATCAGATGGTCCCAAGTATCACTTCTTCCCATGTGAGAGTGGAAGAGGAAGAAACATCTTCAGACCTTCGAAACTCAGCAGCAGACAACAGAGCCGAAGTTCCTATAAATGTGACCACACAACAAAATGCAAGAGAGACAATGAATCAAGGAGGGTTGCCGAATGTAAATAGAAACCCTCGAGTACAGAATAATGGTACAATGTGGCTGAGAAATGCAGCTGAAGATTCCACGGCAGAATCTTCCAGTAGTACTAGGAGAGAAAGGGATGGGGGTGTAGTTCCAGTTTGGTCTCCCCCAGCATCTAACTTCTCAGAACAATTTGTAGATGATGAAAATGGTATTGGAGCCAGTTCATCTTACTTGCAGAGGCAGCATCCTCAGTCTCATCAATTGATGAACTGGACGCGGCTACCTCAGACTGGGTGAGATTTCCCAAAGCTCTGAAGATTAATGACATATGTGTACTTTTTGCTTCATGCTAAACTACGTCATCACAACTTTACTAGGTCATATTCTCCAACCATTTGGTGATTTTGGAAATATAGTATGGCTAACCTGCTTCTGTTCAATTTTCTGAGCCTTATTAAGTAAGATCTATAAAGCACTTTTTCATGCCTGCAGTTTTGGTTTTTCACTCTCCTGATTCTCCTCCTCACTAGTACTAGAAAAGTTGTAGAGTTTTGTTACATCTACAAACTCTTAATGAATGACAACATTTTGGTCCTTTTGGATCATGTTGTTTTTGGCAATGGATTCTCTGCATTAACTTTACCACAGCATGATATTCTAACCTTTCAATAAATTTATCTATATAATGTATTTTTATTCTATAATCGACGTTTGAAAGAATAAAAGGTGGATCCTAACAATTGACCATATGTCTAGTTTTTCTAACCGTTCCAGTTGTTTCTGATCTAACGTTATGATCTTCTTGTTGCCATGTTACAAATGACACTTCAATTTCAGGTAATTCAGAGCTAGAACGTGCCGATTAGTATCAGGGAGATGGAAAATGCACTCTCCCCTCATCTTTTGGGAAAAGTGGGATGGCGAACCTCGCATTGGACAATCATGTATCATTGCCTACATCCTTCAACATGTCTTGATTCATGATTAACGGCTGACCTCCAATGAGCATGAAATTTTCAGTTCATGCGGGTAGTAGTTTCATCTGCAGTGCCTTTTGCTCTCTTGTACAAAATTTTTAGGCCTACTGTATAGTATAATTTGTGTTGTGGAGGAGAAAGAGCTTATTGGAATAGGACCTTTGGTCCTCTCTTAAACTCAGGGTTGTGCTTATCATTTAAGGTAGTTATTTACATTTCCTGTCCCGTAATCCTGTACATTTATTTTGACTGCTTTAAAGTGCACTCATCTGGGTGCTCTAATCTCCAAAACTTCTCTATATGGCAAACTAAAAGACGGTAGTGCCAAGACACTTTTTTGGTTTTATTTTTACTGTTTTTGTAATGCTTACTCCTGAAATCTCCTATGGTTGAGTATATATATATATATATATACATGCAAATAATTTCAACAATTTTGTAACTTACACCTCAACTAAGTTTCAGAAACACTGGGAACTTGCATTTCTAAGGGTATTGCTAAAGCAATCAGACTGTTTATTTTTTAGCTAACTGAATATTACAGATCCTAAACGGTTTGATCAAGATCATGCAATGGAAGTGTATCATCTGATGGATTATAAAGGTAAAAATGATCATGATTGCATATGTTACAACGACACAGTTCATGTTTAGCTGCTTTGTCAAGTTCTAGGAATTTGTACATGGTACTTGCTGTGACTGCTCCCGGAGTTGGAATTATGATATAAACCCAATGTTTTTCTCTTCACCAGATATGATAGCTGGGCCTAAACTCCTGGCTGGATTCATGGACGCTCCAGTGATTGGCCTGCAACAGTATATTCTAGGTTCAGTAACTATGTCATTAAAATTGCATAACTGGAAATTTGTCCTAAAATTTTAATAACTTAATGATTTGTTACATATGTACATTAATTGTTTTTCATAAGTTTACTATTTTGTATTTCTTTACTTTTCTCTCCCGAGTGACTGTGCAGCCATTTTATTAGAGGAAACAAATCTACAGAAACCGCAAAGTTATGCTTCTACAACGATAAAAGAGTTGAACATAAAATTCATGGTAAATTATAACTAATAGTCCCCCTCTGTGATCAGTGGCAACACCATGAATGGTGAGCATCAGTATGAAAGAGATTATGAAGTATGTGGTTCCTTTAGTTCTGCATACTTGGCCGTTTCGGTTAATTTAAGAATCCTTTCTATGATAATGATAGTTAATTTTGGCATAAACTTCATTCAGACCCCAAATCTACAGAATTCCCAGCAGAAAATATGTAAAATGCGTTAATTTGTGAAAAAAATAATACATATTAATATAGGCAATGTTAATATCAACAAGATGAAACAGTCTACTTATTTTAGTTTTTTTTTTATTTTAATAATTTTAGAGATTAACTTTAAAAAATTATCTTTAAGAATAAACTAAAAAATGTTTAATAATTCTAATTAAAATCAATTTTAGCTGTAAGAGAATCACATCAACAATAAAAAAGAATCGAAAATATATGATGAATACGTAAATATTATCAATAAAAAATAAAAAAATTTAAAAATATTTTTATCAATTTTAAATAAAGTATATGGGTTTGTATTGATATGTTGTATGAAATTAAGATAGTGGCCACATTTTTACATACATATCTGTACTATTATAATAATTATTTTTGTGTTTATGATTTATTCTCAAAATTGTATTTTTAATATTTAATATTCTAATGTAGATACAAGCCTATTATCTTTTAATCAATATCAAATTATTCTTGTAAGTCATATTTTCTTTTATTGTACAATGTTTATATTAAAAAATGTTGTTATAAAAAGCGTCTACAAGGATTAAAAATATCATTTACTGTTTCTTTATTGAAAGTGATCAATTTAGCTTATATAATACCAAATTTAATTTAAAAATATCAAAACATAAAAAATGCAAGATTGATTTCATGAACTATTTATCTTAATTTTAGATATAGTAAACATTTCTGTATAAAATTTACTTGGTTGTTATAGTTAGCATTTAACTTAATTTTTTAAAATCTTGATATAGAATAATATTAGTATTTAAAATATTTATGTACTAATTTCTCCCATTTCAAACATAATTATTTTTAAGTGATTTGTATAAATAATTTATATAAATTATTTCTATCACATCATAAGTTTTGTTAAGCTATATGGTTAACTTCAAAGAACTAACTACATTAAGAAGGACTTATTAAAAGGACTTATTTGAATTGAATTTATTATAGTTTAAATGAACTAAACTAAACTAATTAAATTTCTCTGAACTATTTTAAATTGTTTGAACTATTATTACCCATAAATATCTTATTTAAAAGCTCATGTTTTCAAATCTTATAATCTATAATTCAATTTGATTTCAATAATTTTATTTAACAAAAACATATTTTTTAAAATTAAATTTTAAAATAATAATTCTATTTTTTTTTCATGATTCAATTTTTTTAGTGCAATTTTACATTTTGCAGTTCTTAGATGTTGCATTCATCCAAGACACAAAAAAAAATCACTCTTAATTAATAGTTCACTATCAGTCAAAGTCTAGAATACTACCTCAACACTTTCTTACAAGAAAGATAATTTCATAAACTAATGATTTTTTTTAATAATTAGATAACAAATATAATATATTTGTCAACTTTATTATATCTTATACAAAGATAAAATGTAAAAAAAAAAAAAAAATTCTTTCAAAACAAAAGACTCTCTGTCACCTTGAGTTTGAAGGATTAATGTAAACTAAAATTTTATAATAAAAATAATAAAATTCAGCATCATTTCAAATTTTTTGAGAATCAAAACTTTGTATGCGTTGAGAACACAAATTATTCACTCTTCCAAAGGAACACTTGGTCAAAAAAAAAAAAAAAAAAGAGAGAGACAGGAAAACAGTGTAAAACAAGACAACCTACGAAGGTACCATCAAAGTTAACGCAACGCGCAAAGATGAGTTTTTCAGTTTCTCTTTCTTGTGTCGTGGCACGATTTTTTTATTTCTTCTTGTTTTTTTTATCCACATATGGTAGGACCTCCGTTTTAAGGTTCCCAAAACAGTTGCATATTGTCAAAACAGAGAAAGGCAAGTACAAAAACACAAACATCCTTAGATTCCATCCATTCTCAATCTTTTATTAATTAATTACTTTTTGTTTTTCACACTGACAAGTCTTCGATTTTCAAATGCTGCGTGTCACCTTTATCTTGCTTCTTCCTTCCTCATTATAATTCTCTCGTATAATTGGTTGTGCAACTAATGAGAATTAAGAAGAAATAGAAGAAAAAGAGCATGAACTATCCAACCAAAGCAGAACAAGTTGAATCATTTACCAATTCTGATTGGACCGGTAAGGTAGCAATCATTAATACCTAAGATTGCATATTCCTTCTAGGCTTCTTCTGACACAGATAGCCTTTGTGGAGTTTTAGTGTGGTATTGTATGATAGCCTGCCTTTTTTTTTTTTTTTTTTCACAGAGGTAGTCGTTCTTCTGGACAAGGCCTGTGATTTTGAGAAGTGGGTTTCTTTCTCCAAAGTGGTCTATGTTGAGAAGTTTTTGGAAAAATATTACTTTTACTAGTTTTTATCATGGGTATATTGTGCTGCCTTGAGTCTTCTTTCTCTCAGGTAAGAATGTAATATCTCTTCCAGTTGTATTCTCTTATCTTGTGCTTATACCTTTTCTGTTTTTTGAGTTTAAGGGCAATTCAACTTTCTGTCGGAGTGCTCTTGTTCTAGATTATTAAGGCATGTTTGGTTCATAACATTAACTTATTTCGCTCAATTTTGGAGAGAGCTTTTGAAGAATACGTGATCTTGAACCAAACATGCTATAACTATATCCAGGTCCTAAACAGCTTATGGGAGAAAAAAATAATTTTGTTCTGAGACTATTTCTCTGTATATTACTAAATTTTAGTGGTATGAAATCATTGATATTACCTGTTTAGATTATCTTGGCCTCCATTATCATTGGAGGGAAATGGTTCCTCACCCTGTGGTTGTCCCCTTTCTCTTTCTTGAACTTTAATGTTTGGTAATTAGTAATTTCAATTTGTAGCAGAATACTAGTTCTGACTTAATCCTAGCTTTTGCTGGATTTTTCAATTGATTGTGAGGGGTTCAATATAGAGGAAACAATTGTTTTTAATCCCATAACGTTAGAAGGTACCATCACAAAGTTTACAAGTTTCCAATATGAAATTTGATTTAATATAAATTAAATAAAACCTTTGTCTTTGATTTTCTGGGCATCCACAATCTTCTAGATGGTCGTTGAACTCTGAAGGCTCTGTTTGACAGGGG